CCCCAAAACCCCAAAACCCCAAAACCCCATAAAGTAGTGAATGTTATATGATAAGATAAATGAGGAAATTAAAGGATTTAAAATATTAAATTAATAAATAACTTGCCATTTGATTGTAATAAATTGTAATGAGTTTTTAATCATCTAATACTAATAGTTGAATTATTATTCCGATAAATTTCTTACTCAGCATTTACATTTCTTATGCTTGTTTTTATTAGCTTACATTGTTTATTTATTTAATATTATCCGACTTTAATTGCTTTAGCGATTAGTTCGAAAACTGCCAGGCCTCGTCTCTTTTGAAATTGTATTAAATTTTAAAGTTTATCTCATTTTAGCTCCATCAACGTACATTGAGCCATTACCGTCACTCTATTATATAGCATGGCCATTTTATTTGACATAGTAATCTCTGCCATAATAGCCAGCAGAATGAAATATTTGTTCTAGTCCTATGAATTTAGTAGCACTTGCCTCAACATATTATTGCACCTTATTACTATTTACCCATTTTTTCTGTATTGTCTCAGCACTTACTGATCTCTCATCAACCATGTCGCACTTATTGCCTACTAGAATAATTGGAATTCCTTGGTCCCCTGTTGTTTCGTGGAATACTTCTACCCACTTATTTACGTTATTGAATGACTCTTAATTTGTAACATCGAATACTATAATACAACAGTCACTGCCTCTGTAAAATGAAGTGCATAGACTTTAAAATCTCTCCTATCCAGCTGTATCCCAAAGCTAGAGGTTCAACTCAATTCCTTTATAGAGAGGAGTGGGAAAGTCACCCAAGGTTATGACTTTCTTTTAGAACTCAGCACCTATTGTTGGCTTTGATTATTGAGAGAGTCAATTAAAGGTATAAGCTTCTAAGAGAGAAGTCTTGCCTACACTTGAATCGCCGACAATTATTATTTTTAAGAAGCTTTTACGAGACATTTCAAGATTTAACTTTATAATTTACATATAAATTGTATTTTATCGATAAATTGAGCATTAGGGGTTTTGGGGTTTTGGGGTTTTGGGG